GGCGCCCTCGAGAAGGTTCTACATTTAAAAAAAAAAGAAAATTGGGACCCCCGAGAAGGTTTCACATTAAAAAAAAAACATTTGGGGTTCCCGAGGTTTTACATTTTTAAAAGACAATTGGGACCCCCGAGAAGGTTTTACATTCTTAAAAAGAGACAGTTAGGACTCCCGAGAAAGTTTCACAATAAAAGAAAGACATTTGGGGTTCCCGAGAAGGTTTTACATTTTTAAAAAAGACAATTGGGACCCCCGAGAAGGTTTTACATTCTTAAAAAGAGACAGTTAGGACTCCCGAGAAGGTTTCACATTAAAAAAGACATTTGGCGCCCCCGAGGTTTTACATTTTTAAAAAAGACAATTGGGACCCCCGAGAAGGTCTTACATTCTTAAAAAGAGACAGTTAGGACTCCCGAGAATGTTTCACATTAAAAAAAAAGACATTTGGCGCCCCCGAGAAGGTTTTACATTTTTAAAAAAGACAATTGGGACCCCCGAGAAGGTTTTACATTCTTAATAAGAGACAGTTAGGACTCCCGAGAAGGTTTCACATTAAAAAAAAGACATTTGGCGCTCCCGAGGTTTCACATTCTTAAAAAAGAGATTTAGGACCCCCGAGAAGGTTTGACATTCTTAGAAAGAGACAGTTAGGACTCCCGAGAACGTTTCACATTAAAAAAAAAAACATTTGGGGTTCCCGAGGTTTTACATTTTTAAAAAAGACAATTGGGACCTCCAAGAAGGTTTTACATTCTTAAAAAGAGACAGGTAGGACTCCCGAGGTTTCACATTAAAAAAAAAACATTTGGGGTTCCCGAGGTTTTACATTTTTTAAAAAGACAATTGGGACCCCCAAGAAGGTTTTACATTCTTAAAAAGTGACAGTTAGGACTCCCGAGAAGGTTTCACATTAAAAAAGACATTTAGTGCCCCCGAGAAGCTTTCGCCTTTTTTAAAAAAGGGCAGTTGGTATCCTCGAGAAGGTTTCACATTATTATTAAAAAAACGGTTGGGGTCCCTGAGAAGGTTTCACAATAAAAAAAGACATTTGTGGTTCCCCAGAAGGTTTTATATTCTTAAAAAGAGTTGGGACCTTCGAGAAGGTTTCACATTCTTAAAAAAGAGATTTGGGACCCCCGAGAAGGTTTTACATTCTTAGAAAGAGACAGTTAGGACTCCCGAGAACGTTTCACATTAAAAAAAAAACATTTGGGGTTCCCGAGAAGGTTTTACATTTTTAAAAAAGACAATTGGGACCCCCGAGAAGGTTTTACATTCTTAAAAAGAGACAGTTAAGACTCCCGAGAATTTTCACATTAAAAAAAAGACATTTGGCGCCCCCGAGAAGGTTTTACATTTTTAAAAAAGACAATTGGGACCCCTGAGAAGGTTTTACATTCTTAAAAAGAGACAGTTAGGACTCCCGAGAAGGTTTCACATGAAAAAAAAGACATTTGGCGCTCCCGAGGTTTCACATTCTTAAAAAAGAGATTTGGGACCCCCGAGAAGGTTTGACATTCTTAGAAAGAGACAGTTAGGACTCCCGAGAACGTTTCACATTAAAAAAAAACATTTGGGGTTCCCGAGAAGGTTTTACATTTTTAAAAAGACAATTGGGACCCCCGAGAAGGTTTTACATTCTTAAAAAGAGACAGTTAGGACTCCCGAGAAGGTTTCACATTAAAAAAGACATTTGGCGCCCCCGAGAAGGTTTTACATTTTTAAAAAAGACAATTGGGACCCCCGAGAAGGTTTTACATTCTTAAAAAGAGACAATTAAGACTCCCGAGAATGTTTCACATTAAAAAAAAGACATTTGGCACCCCCGAGAAGGTTTTACATTTTTAAAAAAGACAATTGGGACCCCTGAGAAGGTTTTACATTCTTAAAAAGAGACAGTTAGGACTCCCGAGAAGGTTTCACATGAAAAAAAAGACATTTGGCGCTCCCGAGGTTTCACATTCTTAAAAAAGAGATTTGGGACCCCCGAGAAGGTTTGACATTCTTAGAAAGAGACAGTTAGGACTCCCGAGAACGTTTCACATTAAAAAAAAAACATTTGGGGTTCCCGAGGTTTTACATTTTTAAAAAAGGCAATTGGGATCCCCAAGACGGTTTTACATTCTTAAAAAGAGACAGGTAGGACTCCCGAGGTTTCACATTAAAAAAAAAACATTTGGGGTTCCCGAGGTTTTACATTTTTAAAAAAGACAATTGGGACCCCCAAGAAGGTTTTACATTCTTAAAAAGTGACAGTTAGGACTCCCGAGAAGGTTTCACATTAAAAAAGATATCTAGTGCCCCCGAGAAGCTTTCGCCTTTTTTAAAAAAGGGCAGTTGGTATCCTCGAGAAGGTTTCACATTATTATTAAAAAAACGGTTGGGGTCCCTGAGAAGGTTTCACAATAAAAAAAAACATTTGGGGTTCCCCAGAAGGTTTTATATTCTTAAAAAGACAGTTGGGACCTTCGAGAAGGTTTAACATTCTTAAAAAAGAGATTTGGGACCCCCGAGAAGGTTTGACATTCTTAGAAAGAGACAGTTAGGACTCCCGAGAACGTTTCACATTAAAAAAAAAAACATTTGGGGTTCCCGAGGTTTTACATTTTTAAAAAAGACAATTCGGACCTCCAAGAATGTTTTACATTCTTAAAAAGAGACAGGTAGGACTCCCGAGGTTTCACATTAAAAAAAAAACATTTGAGGTTCCCGAGGTTTCACATTCTTAAAAAAGAGATTTGGGACCCCCGAGAAGGTTTGACATTCTTAAAAAGAGACAGTTAGGACTCCCGAGAAGGTTTCACATTAAAAAAAAGACATTTGGCGCCCCCGAGGTTTTACATTTTTAAAAAAGGCAATTGGGACCCCTGAGAAGGTTTTACATCCTTAAAAAGAGACAGTTAGGACTCCCGAGAAGGTTTCACATAAAAAAAGACATTTGGCGCCCCCGAGAAGGTTTTACATGTTTAAAAAAGACAATTGGGACCTCTGAGAAGGTTTTACATTCTTAAAAAGAGACAGTTAGGACTCCCGAGAAGGTTTCACATTAAAAAAAAGACAGTTGGCGCCCCCGAGGTTTTACATTTTTAAAAAAGGCAATTGGGACCCCTGAGAAGGTTTTACATTCTTAAAAAGAGACAGTTAGGACTCCCGAGAAGGTTTCACATTAAAAAAAAGACATTTGGCGCCCCCGAGAAGGTTTTACATGTTTAAAAAAGACAATTGGGACCTCTGAGAAGGTTTTACATTCTTAAAAAGAGACAGTTAGGACTCCCGAGAAGGTTTCACATAAAAAAAGACATTTGGCGCCCACGAGGTTTTACATTTTTAAAAAAGTCAATTGGGACCCCCGAGAAGGTTTTACATTCTTAAAAAGAGACAGTTAGGACTCCCGAGAAGGTTTCACATTAAAAGAAAGACATTTGGGGTTCCCGAGAAGCTTTCGCCTTTTTTAAAAAATGGCAGTTGGTATCCTCGAGAAGGTTTCACATTATTATTAAAAAACGGTTGGGGTCCCTGAGAAGGTTTCACAATAAAAAAAAGGCATTTGGGGTTCCCCAGAAGGTTTTATATTCTTAAAAAAAGACAGTTGGGACCTTCGAGAAGGGTTCACATTCTTAAAAAAGACATTTGGGGCTCGCGAGAATGTTTTACATTTTTAAAAAAGACAGTTGGGATCACCGAGATGGTTTCACATTCTAAAGAAAACAAAAAAACAAACATTTGGCGCCCTCGAGAAGGTTCTACATATCAAAATTAGAAAATTGGGACCCTTGAGAAGGTCATTTGCCAAAATCAGCCTTACCTTAGCAAGTGCTGGTCCGCCCACCCGCCCTTTTCCTAATTTTATTTCTGTTCAGTACAAGATGAACTTTTCATTCGAAACAAATAAAATTAATCAGTGAACTAGAGGTGGGGTGGGTGGGCGGGATTAATATATATTCTTCTGAAGAGTGAGAGTGGGAACTAGTAGAACCTAGCCCTTAAAAAAATAATAATGCTGCTTCTCTGAAAAATTATAAAATTTGGCGCACTCGAGAAGGTTCTACATTTAAAAAAAAGAAGATTGGGGCCTCCGAGAAGGTTTCGCATAAAAAAAACATTTGGGACCCCGAGAAGGTTTTACGTTCTTAAAAAAAGATAGTTACGACCTCCGAGATGGTTTCACATTCTTAAGAAAAGACATTTGGGGCCCTCAAGGAGGTTTTACATTTTAAAAAAAGGCTTTTGGAACCCCCGAGACGGTTTCACATTAAAAAAGACATTTAGGGTTCCCGAGGTATTTTATTTTAAAAAAAGACAGTTGGATTGGGACCCTGAGATTTTATAAGTATTTAAAAAAAAAATTAGTCGAAAGTTGTTTCCACAGAACTTCCTTCGCTCCTGAAGTACTTTTTTCTACCGTCGTATGAGTAAGCATTAGTTCCGCCCACCCACTTCATTCTACTGACTACGGTTAACACTGTTCAGTCTTATTTTTCTAAGTAGTACCCCCGCCCACCCGCCCTCTATTTTCTCAGAAAGTGTCATTTGCCAAATTCAGTCTTCTCTTATCAGGTACTAGATATATATGGGAAATTTTTGGTACGAATCTATACCTCCTCTCATTATTTCGCTAGGTGAATCTAATTCAGAATCTGAAAATGACAGTGATGATACAGATTTTCACAGCGAAATAACGGAAATGGAGTGAACCTTTAATTTAATAAAACATAACATAACGACAAAAGTTCAGGGAATTTTTATGCTTCTGCATCGATTACCAACAAACTCACTAGATTTTCGTGAACTGATAATAACCTAACTTTGTTCTCGTATTCAACTAAAAATTCGTAAAATACGTTTCCAGTGTCCCGTCCTTTCATAAATTTCCGCTTTTTCGAAAATCCAATCCTGCTACAAACGTGCCGCTTTAAAACCCACTATGACAGGTATCCACAACCCAGTGAAAGACTAAACTGCACTGAAATAGAACAATTTTATTTGAAAATAACACCGGACAATTGTATAAAAAACTATATAATATAATCACAAAGTACTAAGATTTTACCGAACCTCGCAAAATTTCGACAATACAACTATGAGTATCGCCTGACAGTAAACTCGGATTCGTTTTGCTCACATGTGTTATGAACTGCAAATAAAATTCGCTGGTCATTCGAACCAACTGTGCACAGCAACACTTCTCTGATGAATGCTTTTCGACCTCTGGATGCACGGCCGCTGGCTGTATCACCACATCCGAAATAATACGTATCTTGTTACCTTGGATTTCTTGTACTTCAGTCGGGTTTTCTTCTCTTGGACGTTTCGCAACCGTCAATGGTTTTAGCTTTCCCTTTCGCAAGTTGCTCAGGGCCACACCAAAAGGTTCCATAGACGAAGAACTAGAAGACGACGGCATGATACGTTTTGGTTTTTGGTTACCTTTAAGCCGCTTTTTCTGTTGACGAACTGTTTCTTTCAGAGTATTCAACGACTTCATCATTAGTTGAGATTGCGGCTTTTTAATAGCTCCGGTTTTTATTATTTTTAATACCGGTTTTCTTCCTGTAGTTTGTTCTTGCCTGTTTTCTTTCTGCTTTTTAGTTTTAGGTTTTGTCGGTTTCGATCTGGAGGGTGTTGAGGGTATGTGGATGACATTTTGGGTGACGTTAAGACTATCTTTTGATTGCAAGTACTCGGTCAAGCTCAAGTTCAAGTACGACAAGTCTTCTGGATTGTATAGTTTACGTGTGGGTTTGGCTTTAGATTGAGCGGAAACTTGATCTGTGGTAATATTTAAACTATTATTGAGTGGAATGTCTCGTTCAACTACATCTGGAGTTTGGTCTATCTTCCTTTCATGAGCAGCTATATCACTTATTTTTTCCGTGTTAACTACATCAGTGACACGGTTTTTACTGATTAGTTCCTTATTCTCTATATTATTAATCACAGGAAGGTCCTCACTAGTTATTTTATCGACGTCATTTACGTCCCCGTAACTACTTACACTGTCTACAGCAGGACTTTGCCTAGCAACTTTTCCACTATCATCTTTTTCCACTTCAATTCCGTGATCGCCCGTGTTTTTAGCCTCACAATTTCTTCTCAACTCTTTCGCCAATTCAGACAAAGGCATATTGCTATCCACCGATGCCACACTTTTTGACACTGAATTCCTCCTTTCATGACTTTTCTCTCGTCTTTTACTTTCTTGGCTGCACAAGATACTCAGTAAACCTTCAACCGTATTTTCGCAGGCAGCACCATCAACTTTGCTTTTATCTTGACTAGGATTCAAATTTTCCCCTTGACCCATCATCCGCTCAATTTTTTCCTCAATTGGTACACTCGAACCTCTTTCGCTGACCGAAGGTAGCAAGTCTGGTAGACCTCGTACATCTCCATTTAGTGACAGTTTTGGAGGCCCGCTAGAGCTTTTCTCGCTAACCGGGGGTAAAACGTCAGGTAGATCTTCATTTTGTGAGAGGTTCGGGGGCGTTCTGTCGCCAATCGAAGGTACGAGATCTTCGCTTTCGGGTATTTTTGCGGGTACATGTTCTACGTCATCCACCGGAAGTGGTACCTCCACCTCCACACTTTTCAACCAGTGTTCAACTTTGGATATAGAAGCGTTTAAATCCATCTCCGCGTAAGTTGCTTCCATCATTTTCTCCTCGATTTCTAAGTTTCCTGCTACATGTTTCTCGTTTTCTTTAACCTCAGGTTCCTGAAAGAATTCATGCAAACGCAAACGTAACGCACAAACGTAATTAGACCTTGTATGGTTTTATAATGGTTGACGTCAAACTTGAAGATATCTTCATTACGGATTTGTCTTTTACTGTCGATATTTTTTCCTTTTTTTCCACTATTTTTGTGGTTGAAATTTTCATTGCCTTTGAAAAATTGTTTTCGATAATTTCTGAATTTCGTGACTGTGGCCTGCTGCGTCTTTCAAAGAACGATCCTGCAAAAGACTGGGAAACAGAGACGTCAATACGTGAATCGAAATTGTGGATTTACGAGTACCAGAGGGCTCACGGATTTATCGAATATATTCGACTTGTTATTGTGCTGTGAGCATGCAGTTTTTCTTGTTTTCATCTCAATAACTCCTAATTTATCTGCTGTGTAACGTGTAGTGTCTTTTGAAAAAGTACTTGGCATCTAAAACGATTAAATGCACTAATTAACAGAACAGGTACCAGAACTGCCGCAAAAAGTACACGGTAGCGGAATAAAATACGCAAATATTGACTGAGATATTGAAAATTAAAACGCTGTGGTCTACAGTTCGAAGGAGAATATTCTCAGTACATATTTAACTTCAACTGTTTATGTTTATAGTTCAAAAAAATTAAACCAGACAACCAACGGGAACAAATGCTTTGCAAAAATCGAAAAACTGCAAAAATTGAATAATCAAAAAATTAAAAATTTTAAAAATCGAAAAAGTGAATAATCGAAACATCAAAATATCGAAAAACTGAAAAAAGCAGAAATTCAAAATTTTCTAAATTCAAATGTTGAAAAACTGAGAAATCGAAAAATCTAAGAATTCAAAAATCAATACATCAAAGAATCAATAATTCAAAAACTCAAAAAATAGAAAAATCGAAATATCCAGAAAACGAAAATTCTAAAATTTAAAATATGGAACAATTGAAGAATTGAAAAATTGAATAATTGAGAAAACGGAACATCGAAAAAGTGAAAAATTTAATAACTGAAAAATGAAAAATTTTAAGAATCAAAAAAATGGCAACATTTTAAAAAACGAAAAACCGAACAAAAAATCGTAAAATCGAAATATGTATCTATAATTTAAAAAATCTAAAAATTCGAAAATATAAAATATGGAGAAATTGAAGAATTGAAAAATTGAATAACTGAGAAAACGGAACATCGAAAAACCGAAAAATTTAATAACTGAAAAATGAAAAATTTTAAAAATCGAAAAACCGAACGGAAAATCGTAAAGTCGAAAAATTGAGAAATCGAAATATCTATAATTTAAAAACTCGAAAAATAGAGTTTCGATAAATTGAAAAAAATATGGAGAAAACGGAAAGTCTAAAACATAAACGATGGAAAAATTGAAAAGTCGAATAATTGGGAAAAAGGAACATTGAAAAACCGAAAAATTTAATATCCGAAAAACAAAAAAAATAAAAAATCTAAAAATTGAAAAATCGAAAAGTCGGAAAATCGAAAAATTGAGAAATCGAAAAATCTACAATTTGAAGAAATCTAAAAATTCAAAAATCAATACATCAAAGAATCAAAAATTCAAAAACTCAAAAAATAGAAAACCCGAATAATTAAATAATTGAGAAAACGGAACATCAAAAAACCGAAAAATTTAATAACTCAAAAGTGAAAAATTTTAAAAATCGAAAAATGGGAACATTTAAAAAACGAAAAACCGAACAAAAAATCGTAAAATCGAAAAATTGAGAAATCGAAATATCTATAATTTAAAAAATCTAAAAATTCGAAAATCAATACATCCAAAAATCAAAAATTCAAAAACTCAAAAAATAGAAAAACCAAATAATTGAAAAATTGAAACATCCAGAAAACGAAAATTCTAAAATTTAAAATATGGAAAAATTGAAGAATTGAAAAATTGAATAACTGAGAAAACGGAACATCGAAAAACCGAAAAATTTAATAACTGAAAAATGAAAAGTTTTAAAAATCGAAAAACCAAACAAAAAATCGTAAAAACGAAAAATTGAGAAATCGAAATATCTATAATTTAAAAACTCGACAAATAGAAATTCGGTAAATTGAAAAAAATATGGAGAAAACGGAAAATCTAAAACTTAAAAGATGGAAAAATTGAATAATTGGGAAAACGGAACATTGAAAAACCGAAAAATTTAATATCCGAAAAACAAAAAAAATTAAAAATCTAAAAATTGAAAAATGCAGAAAATAAAAATTTCCAAAATTGAAATGTTGAAAAATTGAGAAATCGAAAAATCTACAATTTAAAAAATCTAAAAATTTAAAAATCAATGCATCAAAGAATCAAAAATTCAAAAACTCAAAAAATAAAAAACCGAATAATTGGAAAATCGAAATAACCATAAAACGGAAATTCTAAAATTTAAAATATGGAAAAATTGGAAGAATTGAAAAATCGAATAATTGAGAAAACGGAACATCGAAAAACCGAAAAATTTAATAACTGAAAAATGAAAAATTTTAAAAATCGAAAAATAGGAACATTTTAAAAAACGAAAAACCGAACAAAAATCGTAAAATCGAAAAATTGAGAAATCGAAATATCTACAATTTAAAAACTCGCAAAATAGAAATTCGAAGAATTGAAAAAATATCGAGAAAACGGAAAATCTAAAACTTAAAAGATGGAAAAATTGAAAAGTTGAATAATTGGGAAAACGGGATATTGAAAAACCGAAAAATTTTAAATCCGAAAAACAAAAAAATCTAAAAATCCAAAAATTGAAAAACCGAAAAATCGAAAAATTGAGAAATCGAAAAATCCACAATTTAAAAAATCTAAAAATTTAAAAATCAATACATCAAAGAATCAAAAATTCAAAAACTCAAAAAATAAAAAAACCGAATAATTGGAAAATCGAAATATCCAGAATACGAAAATTGTAAAATTTAAAATACGGAAAAATTGAAAGAATTGAAAAATTGAATAATTGAGAAAACGGAACATCGAAAAAGTGAAAAATTTAATAACTGAAAAATGAAAAATTTTAAAAATCGAAAAATGGGAACATTTTAAAAAACGAAAAACCGAACAAAAATCGTAAAATCGAAAAATTGAGAAATCGAAATTTTTCAGTTTTTCAATATTCCGTTTTCAATTTAAAAACTCGCAAAATAGAAATTCGAAAAATTGAAAAAATATCGAGAAAACGGAAAATCTAAAACTTAAAAGATGGAAAAATTGAAGAATTGAAAAGTTGAATAATTGGGCAAATGGAACATTGAAAAACCGAAAAATTAAATATCCGAAAAACAAAAAAATTTAAAAATCTAAAAATTGAAAAACCGAAAAGTCGAAAAATTGAAAAATGCAGAAAACAAAAATTTCCAAAATTGAAATGTTGAAAAATTGAGAAATCGAAAAATCGAAAAATTTTTAAAAAAGAAAAATGGAAAATTTTAAAAACCGAAAAATCGATATGTCAAGAGATCGAACCAAAAAATCGTAAAATCGAAAAGTTGAGAAATCGAAAAATCTAAATTTAAAATCCAAAAATCAAAACACCGAAGAATAAAAAATTTAAAAACACGCAAAATCGAAATATCGAGGAATTGGAAAACCGAAATATCGAGAAAACGGAAAATCTAAAATTTAAAGTATCGAAAAATTGAAAAATCGAAACATCAAAAAATCGAAAACTGAAAAATGCAGAAATTAAAAATTTTCAAAATTCAAATGTTGAAAAATTTAGAAATCGAAAAATCGAAAAGTCGAAAAATTTTAAAAATCGAAAAATGGAAAAATTTTAGAAAACGAAAAATCTAAAATTTAAATAATCTAAAAATTCAAAAATCAATGCACCGAAGAATTAGAAATTCAAAAACTCGAAAAATAGAAATATCCAAAAAACGAAAAATCTAAAATTTAAAATATGGAAAAATTGAATAATTGGGAAAACGGAACATCCAAAAACCGTAAAGTCGAAAAATTGAAAAATGCAGAAATTAAAAAATCCCAAAATTGAAATGTTGAAAAACTGAGAAATCGAAAAATCGAAAAAATTTTAAAATCGAAAAATGGAGAATTTAAAAAACCGAAAATCGAAATGTCAAAAGATCCAACTAAAAAATCGTAAAATCGGAAAGTTCAGAAAACGGAAAATCTAAAATTTAAAATTCTAAAAATTGAGAAGCCGAAAAATCGAAATCCGAAAAGTCGAAAAATTCAAAAATGCAAAAATCAAAAATTGCCCAAAAGTTATATGTTGAAATATTGAGAAATTAAAAAGTCTAAAAATCGAAAAGTCGAAACATTTTAAAAATCGAAAAATGGAAGAATTTTAAAAAACGAAAAACCGACATGTCAAGAAATGAACCAAAAAATCGTAAAATCGAAAAATCGAAAATTATCGAAACATTGAAAAATGCAAAAATTAAAAATTCCCAAAATTGAAATATTGAAAAATTGAAAAACCGAAAACTGGAAAAATTTTTAAAAACGAAAAACCAATATGACAAGAAATCGTACCAAAAAATCGTAACTTCGAAAAATTGAAAAAATCGAGAAAACGAAAATCTAAAATTTAAAATATCGAAAAATTGAAGAATTGAAAAATCGGAAGATTGAAGAACTGAAAAACTGAAAAATCGAGTAATTGAAAAATTCCAAAACTGAAATGAGAAAAATTAGAAAAATGCAGAAATTAAAAATTCCCAAAATTGAAATAGTGAAAAATTGAGAAGTCGAAAACTTGGAAGATCGAAAAATATAAAAATCGAAAAGTCGAAAAATTTTAAAAATCGAAAAATTCAAAAATCAATGCACTGAAGAATCAAAAGTTTAAAAACTCGAAAAACAGAAAAATCGTTGAACTGAAAAATCGAAAAAGCGGAAAATCTAAAATTTAAAAATTAAAACTTCAAAAAACTAAAAAATCGAGAAATGGAAAAATTCCAAAATGACGAAAAGTTGGGAAAACGAAAAATTGAAAAAACGGAACATCGAAAAATTGAATAAACGTGAACTCAAAAATTTTAAAAATCGAAAAACTGAAAAACCAAAAAGTCGAAAAATCGAATGATCCAGCAATGGAAAGTTCAAAAAATCGAAAAATGAAAAAATGCAGAAAGTAATAGTAATTCCAAAACTGAAATAGTGAAAAATTGAGCAATCGAAAACTGGGAAGATCGGAAAATCAAAAAATCGAAAAGTCGAAAACTTTAAAAATCGAAAAATCGGGATGTCAAGAACTCGAATTAAAAAATCGCAAAATCGAAAAATGTATAATTAAAAAAAATCGAAAAACTCAAAAATCAATGCACTGAAGTGTCAAAAATTTAAAAACTCGAAAAATAGAAAAATCGAAGAAAACGGAAAACCTGAAATTTACATAAAACCAAAAACCGAAAAATCGAAAAATCTAGAAATTAAACAATTGAAAAATCGAAACATCGATAAATCGAGAAATAGAAAAATTAAACAAAAGAAAAACTGAAAAATCCTTGGACGAAATTATTATTCCACCTCCATGGAAAATCAAAAATTTTAAAAACAAGAAATGGAAAAAACGAAAAAATCTAAAATCGAGAAGTCCAAAAATCGAAAGCTCGAGAAATAGAACCATCAAGAAACTAAAAAATCTAGAAATTATAAATTCGAAAAATCGAAATATCTATTGAAAAATCTCAAAACCGCAAAATTGAAAAAAACTTAAGACACCCAAACATCACAAAATTGAAAAATTGAAAACCTAAAATTTAAAAATCGAAAAAGGAAAAAGTCGAGACGTCGAAAAATCGAAGAATCGAAATAACGAACAATTCCAAAAGTGAAACACTGAAAAATTTTAAAATAGAAGAAAAATTGAAAAATCCCAAACATTGAAGCACCGATCAAATGAGAAATTGAAAAATCGAAAGGTCGAAAAACCGAAAAATTTGAAAATCTAAAAATGGAAATATCGAAGAACTGAATTTAGAATTTAAAAAACTGAAAAATCTAAAAATTGAAAAATCAATAAACAGAAATATCGAAAATTTAAAAAAATCGAAAAATAGAAATAAGGAACGAAAAATCTAAAGTTTGAAAAATTGGAAAATTAGAATATCGAAAAATTGAAGAATCGATAAATTGAAAAATCGGAACACTGAAGAATCGAAAAAGTTGAAAAATTTCAAAACTGAAATGACGAAAATTTAAAAAACGAAATTGAATTCACCGAAAAATCAAAAATTTTAAAAAATCGAAAAATGAAAATATCGAAAAACTGAAAACGCAGAAATTAAAAATTCATAAAATTGAAATGTTGAAAAATTGAGAAATCGAAACCTTGAAAAATCGAAAAATCTAAAAATCGAAAAGTCGAAAAATCGAATGATCCAGCAATCGAAACATCAAAAAATCGAAAAATAAAAATATCGAAAAATTGAAAAATGCAGAAATTAAAAATTCCCAAAATTGAAATAGTGAAAAATTGAGAAATCGAAAACTGGGAAGATCGAAAATTCGAGATGTCAAGAAATCGAATCAAACAATCGAAAAATATAAAATTTAAAAACTCGAAAAATTCAAAAATCAAGGCATTGAAGAATCAAAAATTTAAAAACTCGAAAAATAAAAAAACTGAAAAATCGAGAAATTGAACAATTCTAAAACTGAAATCACGAAAAATTGGGAAAACGAAAAGTTTAAAAATCGAAAAATTGAAAAACCGTAACATCACAAAATTGAAAAATTCCAAAACTGAAATGACGAAAATCGAAAAATTCCAAAACTGACATGACGAAAAATTGGGAAAACGAAGATAATGAAAAATCGGAAAATCGAAATATCGCAACATCGAAAAATTGAAAAACTAACAACCAACACATCGAGAAACGAAACATCAAAAGACTGAGGAAACGAAATGTCAAGAAGTCAAAGAATCGTGAAATCGAAATAGCCCAAAATCGAAAAGTTAAAAATCGAAAATTGTATTTAAAATTAAATAAAAATAAATCGAAAAACCGAAAAATTGAAAAATCGAGATATTAAACAATTTATTGAAACATCGAAATCTCGATAGATCGAGAAATAGAAAAATGAAAAAACCAAAAAACTGACAAATTAAAAACTTTAAAAACAAGAAATTGGAAAAAAGAAAAAATCTACAACCGAGAAGTCGAAAAATCGAAAGCTCGAGAAATAGAAGCTTCAAGAAACTAAAAAATCTAGAAATTAAAATTCAAAAAATTGAAAAATTAGAAATATTGAAAACAAAAAATCGAAAAATTGAAACATCGAAATGGCAAAATATCAAGAAATCGAAAAACTGAAGAATCTAAATATCTATTGAAAAATCTCAAAACTGAAGTGCCGAAAAATTGAAAAAAACCTAAAGACACCGAAACATTACAAAATTGAAAAATTAAAAACCTAAAATTTAAAAATCGAAAAAGGAAAAATTCGAGACGTCGAAAAATCGAAAAACAGAATAAATTGGAAAATCGAAAAATCTAAAAATCGAAAATATAAAAAATCTAAAAGTTGAAGAATCAATAAACAGAAAAATAAAAAATTTAAAAACTCTAAAAATAGAGATATCGAAGAACTGAAAAATCGAAAAATAGATATATCGAAGAACTGAAAAATCGAAAAATTTAAAAATCGAAATAGCCCAAAATCAAAAAGTTGAAAATTGAGAAATTAAACTGAAAAATTGAAAAATCGCAATTTCGAAAAATTGAGAAAAACAAAAATTTTAAAAGCGAAAAACTGAAAAATCAAAAATGTTAAAAGCAGGAAATTTGAAAAATGGAAAAATCTAGAACCGAGAAGTCGAAAAATCGTAAGCTCTGAAAATAGAAACATCAAGAAACTGAAAAATATAAAATTTAAAAATTCGAAAAATTAACATCTTTTCGAGAATCGAAATATATGTATTGAAAAATTTCAAAACTGAAATATTGAAAAATTGAAAACCTAAAATTTAAAAATAGAAAAAGTAAAGTCAAAAAATTGAAGAATGAAAATATTGAACAAACCCAAAAGGGAAATATCAAAAAATTAAAAAATTGAAAATCCCGAACTGAAACATCGGCCAATTGAGAGAAAAAAAAAGAAAAATTTAAAAACAAAAAATAGAAATGTCGAAGAACTGAAAAATCGAAAAATCTAGAATTTAAAAAATTGAAAAATTAAGACTCAAAAACTGAAAAATCGAGAAGTCGAAAAACCAAAAAAAAAAAACAATCAAGAAAATGCAAAATCGAAAATTTAGAATGTGAAAAATTGAAAAATCGAGAAATCAAAAATTCGAAAAATTGTTATATATCTAAAATTTTGATTTTTTTTTTCAAAAATCTCGAATATAAAAATTAACACGAATTCATAAACCACAAGTTTGCAAGATTTCAAAGCATTCGATTTTGCAATTTCAAAGGTAAATTGTAAAATGTTATACAATTCTGATTTTTTTTCCAAAAATCTGGATGCCTAAGGAGGTAAATCAAGAAACAGGTTATACAATACGAATATTTTCCAAGAATATTCCGTATCTTTTGCCGTTTAGGAACAACCTTTGAAGGGATTCAAGATTAAAACAGTTAACTGTAAATTGTTAATTATTGGAGCCGCAGGTAGGGTGCAAATAATGACATTTGCACTCACAAAGTTTTTTCGGTGCAAAGGGTTAATATAATTACTTAATTTTTTCCAAAAAAAAAAAAAAAAAATTCGTCAAAATTTAAATTTTATACCTTTGCGACAGTTTTAAACCAACAGTGAGAAAAGTGCACACAATGTCCTTACCATAGAAATCCGCCGCGGTTTGTTACTAGACTTCAAGCTACCATTAAATACCTTAACAGTTTTAGTCATTCTTTTCATGGGTGGATTGCCGTCATCGTCTGAAATTACTATCACAGAACCCTCACCGTCGTCTGACAACTACGCAAAAATAAATACAAATACACTTATCACTAAATTATTATTACCTCAACAAACACCGCATTCGCATCTACAGCCGAAATTTTTTCCCGCATTTCAAAATGCTCAATAATGGGACTAGAACCATCACTGTCCACCAGCGAAATATCAGGCGTCCTTGACGAGTCCAATTCCTAAAATGTACACCTAGTCACTTAGAAAACAACAAACCCCATACTGGCACCTTTTTGGAGGGAATACCCAGCGCTTCGGCCGAAAACCCTCCAGGAAACACATTCGGTAAATGTTCCACCAAGTCATAAAAACGATCCGAACTCCTAGACACCACAATTTCAATCTTGTGAACCGCTACCCCGTTGGAACGAACTAACAAATTAATATTAGGAGCGCTGATCGTAAAAGACATGTTGAGATTTTCGGTGACGCTGTCGTAATTAAAATATAAATTTGCGACGTCTCTGGCGTGGAATGATAACACTTCCCACGTCGCTGACGTCGGGAACATTTTCATTTTAGACGCCACGAAATTGTAGTCGCAAAAGAACGACAACCGGTTCTCCAATAAATTAAAATCTAACCAAATATCGTCAACTCCGCCCTGAAAAAGCTCGTGAGTTTAACGTAAATTCGACGGGGGTCTTACATCGAACTCCACGACGCGGTGCGAATCCAGCTTTATTGCACTACAGTTTATGGAAAAAATGTTTTTTGAATATTCGTTTAGTTGATCGAGGATCATGCGAATGCTTTGGTACATGTTTGACTTATCTAGGGACGAAATGTCCACGGCTTGTATAATTTCGAGGAAGTTGTCGTCCACGTTTGTACATTTATTGGACTTAAAAAGCTTAAGAACTACTTCAATTATTATTGCTTGAGTTTCAATATCACCAGTGGTTTTAATAATTTTATACCAAAGAGGCCTGCAATGAAATTCTATCCTAAGTTGTAATAATTTGATACAACTTACAGTGATTTTTGCTTATTTGCTAAATTGCTCAAAACTTCAACTGGGTTTTTATCAATTAAGTGTGAATAAATCCTTAAAAACTCTTTTATGTTAAAGCTGCGCGGGTTATTTTCCGTAATTACGTCAATAATTTTTTGAAATTTTCTAATAATTTTCCCGTAAATGTGCATACTATCCAACACGAACTAAAAGCAAACTTGTTTGAGTGACGCTAGAGATAATTGAAGTAACCTACCAGAAACACTCCGAGCCCCAATCTTACAGTACACTGTTGAGAAGCGTTGATTTCCTCAAACTGCGCCATATAGTGGTTCAACAGAACAAAATATCGAAGAACATCATCAAGAAACAACTTTATTTCATGATCATTCAGCCGTAATCTCGCAAACTTGTTTAAAATACTCGACGCTTCTTTCACGTGTTCTTGTTCAATTTGGTGTTCCGAGTCCTTCGACGCAAACTATACAGAAGACGTAATTAATGAGTGAACTAATACTTACCAAAATTCCGGTGACTGTATTTCTAAATAATCGCAAGAGATTATTGAAATCCATTTTATTGTTGGGTTGCGTTTGACGCAAAATTGTTGTCACTTGATTCTGACAACTTATTATTTTTTAAGTGCAAAAATCCACACGCCGGTTTTAAATTAGTGTAAACTTTGACTCATGTTGTCTGAACAACTTCTCACATTATTGGAATTGGAAAAATAGGGCCAATACGGCTAAAACTAGAAAAACGAGAAACACTCATTTTGAAAATGTCAGTTCACTTTTTTTACACGGTTGGTGTCGTCGGTATGACAGGGGTAGATATTGCCGACAGAGTGCAGCCGCGTTTTGCTGGTTGCATAATTAAATTTGAAATTTGTATACAATCGTCACATACTTTTTAATCCCCACATTCTCTACATTTTTAAATACAAATGAAAAAACTCTCATTACAGTTTTAAGTCAAAAAAGTATTATTTTCATTACGTTCGATAGTTTAAAAAATTGAGTATTTTTTTAAAGAAATTTGAATTTATATTTCTTTGCAGAAAATTTTTTGGTCACTACGAATTATTTAATGAAATCGGTTTGCCTTTAAAATGTTGAAAATCGAACCCAAACTAATCTCATTTGCAATCTGTCTTTGACTCACGTGGGGATTTTCTGCTACAATTTCGATTAGAGTAGCTTCATTATCCGGCGTTGTGACAGTTCGGTTTCTAACTTTATTTTTTTGAATTGCCTAAATTCTCGTAAATTTTTTTTCAAGCCTTCTAAACGCTTGATTTGACGGAGTTCTTCTATTGGGATATTACCTATTACCTATTTTTTCAGAATTCTAAAACATTTTAAAGCAAACGAAAATTGAAAATATTTGGCTGACGGAAATAATTTGTCATAATTTTGGTTTTAATCATTGCTATTTATGCGTTCATTATTAAACCGTTCAAGAAACGTAAAATGGGTTGCCTATGCAAAAATATTCAGGCGTGAACAGATAAAATGAACACCTGTATTTCTTAAATATTTTCAAAATGTTTGGTAACATTTTTAACATCATAACGTCTTTGTTAGATGATTGCAAATATTCTAATACTCCTATCTGAGAACTATTATTAGTGTTAGAAATTTAAATAATAGAGATTTTGGATCATTTTTACATTTAACATTTTTACAATTCCTCTATAAAAGTAAATCTTTGATGGTCTGATATTTATCAGATTCTTGATTTTTATCAATCCAATTCATCTAAAAGACAAGATATTTTCAAAATCAAATACGTATATGTATGCTGAACGCGTGATTGAATATTTTCTGTTATAGTATTCCTCAGTGGCCCGCAAAATCGTAGATCTTTAGATTTGTTTCCACTATACAAAATTTGTAAAATACTTACTAGGGAGAACGTAACCTAAATAACATTGATTTTCACCTTGTAATACATCAATCGTGGATGCTAATGGTGGCATTACATCGAGGTATTCAATTTCAATATTTTTTAATTTTGGCTTTTCCAAAGCATCACATATTTTATCTAAATGGATTTGAATCCACAAAAATCAACAAAAAATTTCATCACAAGCTTTAGTCCCCAAGCAGCAGACTGTCGTCTAATTCACGTCAATTTTTGCTCATAAATCGTCGACGACGTCATTCGCCCAAAAAATCACGTGAAAATGACGAGATTTTTATGACTTACTTCTGTTGTCAATTAATGACGTCAAAAGGCCGTCCTTTCTTCGTCATTTTTTATAGATTATATAATCAATTAGATGTGGGTCGTCGTATTCTTTAAAAAATGGCCTTTATAATACTTAATTATATTTAGAGCAAAAAATACAATGGCTTAATTAGAAATACACCAAAGACAAGTTTTTTCATTCTAATAATTTCTAATAAAATAATTATTTCTGAAAACTTGTTTACTCTGGAAGTGTTATTTTGTAAGTACCTGCTTGGCAAATTATAAATAGAATATCTGGGGTTGAGCGAAAAGACCCAACGACACAAACAAAGTCATAAAAATTCTTTGTCCATTGTCCCTAAAACGGGACAAGGTTTTGAAGAATTCCTTCGTCGAATTTTGATTTTATAAAGACGTTTATAAAGTGATGACGGTTACCAAAAAAATTCGAGAGTGATTAATATTCGGTTTTATTAAATTTATTCTTATCCGTATTTACTATACAATACATCAGATGTTTGGGATGTGCATTCGGACTTTCCCTTTTTTCGGTATTTATGTTTATTGCACTTCACAGAGAAGCATTCCAATATTTCCAGTTGGTTCTCAACCACCGAAACTTTCTCGTGTATCCGTTACTCACTTCAATTTTAACGCAGTTTTGTGCAAATTTATGCCATTCAGTGTGGGTTGTACTTATTTATAGTAGGTAAGTTAATATCTAATAAAGTAATCATTTTAATTTTTACGTGTTTCTGTTATTTTTGATAACTGTACGTAGATAACAAAAGCAGTTTTTTCAGATAAGCTGGAAAGACCACCATTAATCACTGAAGATACTCCCACTGATTATGAAGAACTTACGGTGATTGTTTTTGAAAATGAGGCGCTATAAAATATTCCAAAGGTATATTACTGCAATTGTTTATGAACTAATGCTAATGAACATAATTTTATTCTAGATTTGAAACAAATACAAAACACGTGTGCGAAACGAAAGAAATGCTAAAGGAAACGAGTGAAAAAATCTCCAACATGGAAACGTCATCAAATCTGATAACTGAAAAAGAAAACAAAAACAGAAATTATGCCGCCAAAACCACACCTAAACAAATTTTGACGAATTACAAGATTATGTTTGCATATTAGAACAAGCAGATTTCTTTGTAAGTTAAAAAAATACAATGAATTCAGATATACATATATAACATTAATATTGGATATTATATATAGGTAGATGCCTGTAATACTACGATACTTTTTGGTAACTTACTATTTACACATACACATTTCGCTTCATTGTAAAAAGTATTGACAACGAGATTTTCCTGATAGGCTGTACGTTTTTGTCAATGCAACCATTTTACGATTATCCGTTAGATTCAAGTAAATTTAGCATTTTTAAAATACAGAATTCGTCTTCTGCTTTAAGCCGTAATCCCTTAAATTTAATACTAGTCAAATGCTTGCTATTGCCCATAGATGAAAAAATGATTGCATTTCCATTAATCCATGCACTCTAACGGGTTTTCCTTTTCAGTGCAATAAATTGAGGCAAACTTAAAAAACTTAGGTTATTGATATGATTGTTAAAACAGAATTAATTCTTAACGGTACTTTTTTGTGTGTTGGGGACAGTCAAGTCGTCGTGAATTAGATAGTTTTACATATACTGTGGTTTTACAGTGCATTTTCAATCAAGTAACTTCAACAATGCGATTCAATTGTCTTTTTCCTTTATTCTAGTTTTTTTTAAATATTTTTTGTAAATAGATTTGGTTGTGTTTTTAAGACTGATCTATAGTTTATTATAGTTTTTTTTTTATATTCTTTGTAACTAAATAGATTTCTTTGTGTTTTTAAAACTGATTTTTCTTTAAATAGCAAATTTTATTGCAACGTTTATTTTTGATTTTATATAGTGTACAATATCCTTTTTTTTTTGTTTATACTAATTATACTCGTAATTACCTGTATGTAGATTTATTTGTGTTCTTAGGAGTGGTTTATCTTTAATTTGTTTAAATGACATATTTTTTATTTGTTTATTGAAGTTCATTGTTGGTTGTACAAAATTGTAGTAAATTTAATTTTTTTACACTAATTTGTTTTAACTTTAATTAATATATACTTTGTTTTGGGCTTTACTTGGTGATTATAACGAATTATAATATTTTATTTAAGCTAAACAATATAAAAAAATAAAATTATTTCAGCGTTTTATTTATTGCATATTTTTTTATAAAAATCAAAATATAAAAAACGTCTTAAAATGAACAATAAATGCCGTCTCTAGGACGTCAGTAAATCACGTCAATAATTCGTTACAAAATGACGACTCTAAGACGTCAGTACATCACGTCAATAGTTCGTAAGAAAATGACGTCATCTAGACGAGACATTTGACCGTCATTGGTACGTCAATATCACGTGAAATCTTTGGTCACTATGACGTAAATGATGACCATTTATTCACGTGAAAAAGACGACATCATGTTGCCTGGGAATACATGATTTTCTTCAAAATTATCAACTATGTCACGTGAAAAAATACGAGTAGATTTAAAATTAAAAATTACAACAATAGATTAATTTTTAACATAAAACGGAATCTGCCTCTACCTCATTCATTGTCTCTACCCATGTATCGGTCATTTTTCCAACCCAACTTTTTATTCTGTCGTTATACTTCTTCCTTCTTTATGATCATTTTCTTCGTGTCTTTTCTGTTTTCTGTGTCATTTTTCTGCGTCTTTTCTACATTTATCTTCCTCTTAATAACTTCTTAAAGTAGTATTTCTATACTGTCATTCTAATTTGTTCTGGTAGATCTTTCTTTTCTTTCTATCTCGTGGTTTATGTACTTCTATTCTAAACTTCTTCTTCCGTTTTTATTTGTCTTAACCTATTTTCTTCTTCCTTTCTTATTTGCCCTTTTATTTCTTTGCATTTTTGCCTATACTTAAGCCTTGCGTCCCAGTACAATGTTTGGTTTCCTTTTTCTTCCCTCCATTTACGTAAGTAACTGTTTCCTTGCTGCCTTTTTCAGGTGATTGCATTCTTTGTTCCACCATTCGTTCTTTCTTTTCCTGTTATCCACATTATTCATTTTTGTGTAGCTCTTTCCAGGTGCTGTCTCAATTCCACCATTTTAGAATTTAGCCATGATAGAATTTGACATTCATACAGATACCAGTACTAAGATAAAAAATATGATAATACAAAATATTGAATCAGGTAGTTTGACAGTGACTGATCTTTAACTAAAAATACCTGATTAGGTTGAGGTTGTTGGACTTTTCTTATTTTTTTCCCTTCATATTAATCTGTGTTAGTTTAGTTTAGGTTAGTCTAGTTAAGCTTATATTAGTGTATTAAAAGACTCCATAATTGGACTAAATGCCTGTCAGAGGTTTCCTAATTAATAATAATAATTTTATCTTCTATATCTTCTGCTGTAAAATTCACTTTTTTCCATCTCGTTCCTAAAAAGTTAAACGTTTGTCATATACAAAATTATTCTTTCAATTCTCTTCTTTGTTCTTTTTTTGTCTCTGGTGTTTTTTGTTACCGTTTTCAAAACATTTGCTGCTTTCCTGCCCATCATCTGTCTTTAGCTCCTACCTATCTAATATTCTCCTTATTTGTTCCATTCTTCTAATATAGCCACTTTTCATTTTCCATTTTTCTCCATCGATTAATTATTATTGTAATCGAGTCCATCGGACGAATGACCACTTTTATGTTTTCTCGACGTTTCTACTACTGTACGAAAAAAGCAGACTCCCGTTTCCGTCTGTCTATCTGTCTGTCTGTCTGGTGTCTGTATCCATTTTTTATTAGACACGTAATCACCGAAACTCCTAAACCGATTGTTGTCAAATTTTGAATGTATATTACAAATATAATGTAGATGGTTAAATGCTAACGAAAATTTGACTAATCATCCCCACCAACAATTTGATGACGTCATTTCAATAAATGGTATTGTTACGTTGAACAGGCTATTAAAATCGGCATGGGTTAAACTCAACAATTTATTTCTTAGTAACTCGGATTTACACCATTGAGATCCTCTTCTGTTTTTCTCTATTCTATTGTATTTTCCAATATTTCTTGCTGAATTTCTTTTTCGGCATTTATAATGGTTTATTAAAAAAAAAAATTGACGTGAATATCTAGTGATAAAGTCAAATTAGCCATCTGTCAAGTGTATGTTTGGTTGCCTATAATTGAGTTTTTAACTTTAATTGAACGTTTATAAACGAATTATGAAGTGATCCTGATCATAGATTCACAGATCATGAAAAAAATTAAAATGTTGGACTCATTTATTTTATACTTTAAATTTGAGATTTATAAATGTCAACAGGACAAAGCAAATTAGCTGTAGGGGAATCTTTATATTAGGTGTATTGTGAATTGCATACACCACAAATTTACAATTGAGGTTATGTAATATTTTTCCAATAATTTTTGATATTTTAAAATTAAGTAATAAAAAACTAGAATTAATTTAAACAAACGTTAAATATGATCCAACAGAGACGACAGAAGTTGCTCGAAACCAAAATTTACAGGTGACACTCAATATTCATAATGATTTAGTACTCCAATTAATCAGTGTTGCATGATTTTAGGTAAATCTACGTAAATCAAGATGTTGCTTCTAGACTACACCGCAAAGTTTATCCACGTTGAGAAAATTCTAATTTTTTCATGATGAACCACAGTAGTCACGACTCGTTATTGCAAAGATTTAACTGTGAAACCTCCAACATCGAAACTTACTCTTGTAAAGACTGCAATTTCAAGACAGAATTAACCCTTTCCTTCAAACACCACGTTCAAGAACATCATGGTGTTGGAAAAATTCAAGATTCGTCAAGTGTGTACACTGTGCAAAATTACATTTGTGAAAAGTGTAGCTTTGAAACACATTTCATAATGAAGTGGCTTCAGCATTCTACAAAATGTTCCAACAATGAAGAAAATTCTGAAACCACAACTGGTACCAAGCGCAAGTATAAACACAAAGATTATGTACAAACACACATAATTTCGAAACAATTTAAAATTAAATGGCACAAGTGCCAAGTATGTCCGTACAAAGCTAAAAAAAAATCTCGCTTGCAAAGACACATAAACGCCCGCCATTTGGACGAGAACCGCATTAAATGGTACTACTGTGAAAACTGCGCATTCAAAACCAAAAGCAACTCCAATTTAAAACAGCATCTACACTCACGACATTTAGACGAAAAAGACATAAAATGGTACGAATGCAAAAACTGTTCATACAGAGCTAAACGAAATTCCGATTTAAAAAAACACATTAACGTTTTTCATTCAGTCGGCGACGATATTAAATGGTACGAATGCGACAAATGCCAATTTAAAGCTAAACATTACGCGCATTTAAAAAGTCACGTAAATGCGCATCATCCCGACGATATTAAATGGCATCAGTGCGAAAAGTGCGCGTATAAAGCTAAACAAAAAGATCACTTGCAGAAGCACATAATCGCACGACATTTAAACAAGCAAGATATTAATTGGTTTAAATGCGCCCACTGTTCATATAAAGCTAAAACAAATTCTGATTTAAAGAAACACACAGTTGCGCAACATTCAGATCAGCAGGGTTTTAAATGGCACGAATGCACGAGTTGTCAGTATAAAACTAAGTACAAATCAAACTTAAAAACTCACGCAAGTGTGCATCATTTGGGTGAACAAGTTGTTAAGTTGTACAAATGCGACAAGTGTCTGTATAAAGCTAAGGTGGAAGCAACTTTAAAGGATCATGTAGTTGTGCGACACTCGAATGAAGAGGAGATTAAGTGGTATGAATGCAAGAGGTGTCCGTACAAAGCTACACAGAATTCGAATTTGAAAAGGCACATAAATGCGCAACATATTGATGGACAGGATATTAAATGGTATGAATGCCAAGAATGCTCATACAAAGCTAAACAGAATCATCATTTAAAGAAGCATATCATTGCGCGCCATTTAAAAGAAGAGGATATTAAGTGGTACGAGTGTGAAAAGTGTTCCTATAAAACTAAACATAAGTCTGATTTAAATAAGCATTCAAGTAGGCACCAGGACACTATATAATAGTAATAAATACCTCTATGTGAATTATTTTCATTTGGTATGTGCAGATTGTAAAAAGTGAGTTATTATGAAGTACTTAAAAAAAATTATCAAATCCATTAAAAACGAATAAAAATTTTTTTAATTGACGAATTTTTATTATAAAAACGACTAAAGGGCTTCAATTTTATTTGGAACGATGAAGGCGAAAAGTGTTATGTGATTAGAGAAAATACGAGCACTTGGAAGCTCAGTTTTCATCTTAAGCGGGGAGTGTTGTGGCGGACTGTCATATAATAAATTCACGTAGCTGCCATTTCTTTGCCCCGATATATTCCAAGAATTGTCTGATGCACACATTCCATATCATATATGGTTAGAGACCACGTTCTAACGCCTTATATAGAGGCTATCACGGACCAATCAAATCGCTCAGCAGTCCACATGCACGGCACATTTCTTTTCCAAATTAGAGTGTGATTCACGGATGACCGCCAAAATTTGAAAAACCCCGCGAAAAATTCGAAAAATGGCCATGAACTGTGATTGTCAACAAAATGGCACCCTGCGTTGTGTTTGAAATGGCGGAATGTGTTCTGATGCAAAGTGGTGAACTGCAAAGGTAGAAGAGTGACCTTGAATTAACGCGACACAAAAATGTGGCGGGAATAATTTGGGGGGGGGGAGGTGTTTTCCAGTTACAAAAATCTCGTTCTTTTCAAGTGCAAGGCTACAAATTTTGATCACATACAAAACACATGTTAAATATGGTCAAAAACAAAATATCATTCGTACATCGCTTTGAGAGGTACGTCCGAGAATCAATGTTCCAAAATTGGAGTTATAAAACACATAATCCACGATGACAGTTATTTCGCTGATTATTTCCAACGCGAACAGGCATTAATAGTCACCCTTGGCCAGTTCCCAGCATTGAGTAAATTGCCAAAAGGAATAATTACTCGAGTTTCGCTCTCAAATCAATGCTCATGAGTACTGCGTTACATATTTTTTTCTTAGTATCTATTGTCAGCTTTTTATTTTACTAACTTTAGCGGACTGCTTCTGATTTAGTAACTGCACATCATCGCATCCAGTCTTCCAATAAAAGGGTCCATTTTATGATAACCCTAACATTCCTCCTCAAATTGACATGTGAAAAAAATTTGAAAGCCCGCGAAAACTTCAAAAATTCAAAATTTGGCCTTGGCTGTGATCGTCTGACGAAATGGAACCCTACGTTGTGTTTTTGAAAAATGGTGGGATGCGTTCAGATGCAAATGGTGCACCCCAAGGTTGGAAAAGAACCGCTAAATAAAACACCAAATTTATGGAGGACACAAAATTAGTTATTCCTCCACTTATTGAACTTTAGATGAAATTTAAATGAAGTCAAATTAAACGTTCTGAATCAATGCAAATATTTGAAAATCACAAATTTAATAAAAACAAAGCAAATACACAAGTTATTACAGACGTGTGGTGGCAATTTAAAATTATGACAGTCAACAAGAGCACAAAATTTTAATAAAAAACTATGCAGCGGCAGGGGTATCAGAGCGCTGTAAGAGTGTGGCGACAACGAAAATACCCATTGGGGGCGTCGCAGTACGAACGGAGTTTGGGGCTCCCGGTCGTGACTGTTGTCCCCCACGACGGTGATTCTATCTATCGCAAGCACTACCGCACAGTATCTCTCTATTACGGACGTGCCGTACGGCAGGCCGTTACGGTCGCAAACTCACAGTTGGGTCTCGACTATTGGGCCAAGTCGACAGACGTCATCTCGAGCGCCCCTGAATTCTATTCTAACCTGCATCTTTGTGCAGATAGCGCGATAAATCCCGCTAGCTCGACTAGGAACCGCGCACTCCGCTTCCACCCCGTGTAGTTTTTTTTCAACAACACGACTCTTAAGACATGTTTAACTTCTTGTAGAAAAAAATTAGGATTTTACAATTAAGCTCCGCCCCTGGTTCACGACGAGTACAAAAATTAATCACAATTGAGATTGGGGCGGGTGGGTGGAGCTTATGTTTACTTTTTTTACCCCGTAATACACGTAGTCACCTTTTCATAATAACAAACTTAAAACATGTTTAAAATGATACTTTTTTGTAGAGAAATCTGGAGTTTAAAATTAAACTCCGCCCCTCGATTTAATAACAAATGAAAAATTCATCCTAAGTGAGAGAGGGGCAGGTGGGTGGGGTTATATAATTGGCTTCTTTATCTGAGTAGCCGCAGTTTTCTTTCAACAACACAACATTTAAGAAAAGTTTCATAGGTTAACTTCTTGTGGAAAAAAATTAGGATTTTGCAATTAAGCTCCGCCCCCAGCTCACCACGAGTAAAAAAAAATAATCACAATTGTGATTGGGGCGGGTGGGCGAGGTTTATGTTTATTCTTTTTTCGCCCTAATACACATAGTCACCTTTTCACACTAAAAACCTCAAAACATGTTTAAAATGTTACATTTTTTTAGAGAAATCTGGGGTTTAAAATTAAACACCGCCCCTCGATTGCGGGTGGGGCTTTAATATACACAGTTTTCTTGCAACAACACGACATTTAAGACATGTTTCACATGATAACTTCTTGTAGAGAAAAAATAAGGATTTTGCAATTAAGCTCCGCCCTCCTCTCAAGTCGAGTAAAAAACTTAATTACAATTGAGATTGGAGCGGGTGGGCGGGGCTTATGTTTAGCCTTTTTTTTCCCTTATTATCCGTAGTCATCTTTTCACAACAAGAAACTTAAAACACCTTTAAAATGATAAATTTTTGTAGAGAAATCTGAGTTTTGAAATTAAACTCCGCCCCTCGATTTAACAGCAAATGAAAAATTCATCACAAGTGGGATAGGTGTGGGTGGGTGGGGTTTAATCACTGATTCCTTTATCTTATTAACATATGCAGTTTTTTTTCAACAACACGACACTTAAGACATGTTTCACATGATAACTTCTTGTAGAAAAAAAATAAGGATTTGGCAACTAAGCTCCGCCCTCCTCTCAAGTCGAGTAAAAAACTTAATTACAATTGAGATTGGAGCGGGTGGGCGGGGCTTATGTTTAGCCTTTTTTCCCCTTATTATCCGTAGTCATCTTTTCACAACAAGAAACTTAAAACACCTTTAAAATGATAAATTTTTGTAGAGAAATCTGCGTTTTGAAATTAAACTCCGCCCCTCGATTTAACAACAAATGAAAAATTCATCACAAGTGGGATAGGGGTGGGTGGGTGGGGTTTAATCACTGATTCCTTTATCTTATTAACATATGCAGTTTTTTTTCAACAACACGACACTTAAGACATGTTTCACATGATAACTTCTTGTAGAGAAAAAATAAGGATTTTGCAATTAAGCTCCGCCCTCCTCTCAAGTCGAGTAAAAAACTTAATTACAATTGAGATTGGAGTGGGTGGGCGGGACTTATGTTTAGTCTTTTTTCCCTTAACACCCGTAGCCACCTTTTCACAACAAGAAACTTAAAACACGTTTAAAATGATAAATTTTTGTAGAGAAAATCTCAATTCCATTTATAACTCTGATATTAAACTACAACTAAACAAGTGTGGATGTTTAAAAAAGAGCACTAAACAACATTTAAATTCGCCAAAATCTTGTGAAATTTAAACAACCAATAATTATTTGAAATAAAAATTGGACATCAGATAATTTTTATGATGGAAACATTCATCAACAAAATATTTACATAAAAAAACTAGCAAAAATTTATAAAAACAAAAGATCTGGTATGAAATAAACTTGTGCAGACAAAAATTACGTGAGGTTAGAAACTGCAGAGCATGAAAATTTACGTTCAATTTAAATTATACAACAAAGAAAATTACTGAAGTTAAAATTGTGAGATGATTCAAACAAAGAATTTATATGATGTTACATTATGCCATGATCCGAGGGATTGGTTACTTAAAACAATTTGTTTTGAGGGTTTATATATCGTGGACTGTTTATCCCAGACAAAAGACATTATAAATAATCACAAAATGCATCAGGCGTTGCGAGGAAAACTCCTCGGTGATGTGATGATGCTACAATGATCTTAATGATGATAACTGTCTAAGGAGAGAAATCTTTAGGTGAATTTCATGAAATCTCCTAGCAAGTATTTATCTAAATAAATCTAATGTTTGTTAAATTGTGTTAGTACCAGTTAATGATTAAAATCCTAACATGAACTGTGAATTTACAAACAATTAATTTAAATTTATTCGGTTGGCGTCGGTCGAAAATTCACATTTTTTTCGATTAGAAAGCCGAAAGAATTAGCTGCGCGTGTTGGGGAAAACGATGGCGGCGGCGTCGTTGCGATTAATTGTCGTTAATCAAAGGCTTCCTCCCTTTTATTAACTACCAAGCCAACTAAACTTAACCTACTCAGTTACCGCGTCTTTTTACCATGCTCTCACCATTCTACCACATCTAACCAACCCTCTAACTAGCCATTACCAAGCGGAACTACCAACTACCCACAAAGCGCGAAGGTGCACATAGTTGCCGATCAAATTCATCATACTATTCAACGGTATCCAAAAAGAAACGATGGTTTTATGAGTCAAAACACAGAATTTGGGCGGATCTTGTCCGGTAGTGTAATAAAAGAAGAAAAAAGAAACAACAAACGCATAACGGTCAAGAGCATGATGACAAGAAAAGAAAATTAACTTTCAAATACTCTTGGCCGGTGGTGGCAAATTTGGTTCCACCAGAAATTCACCAACAGTTAACATCAATAAAAGAAGGCATGGTCCAGGTTCAACACACCAAAAGAATTAGAAAATGAAGAAGAGATATAGTTCTCAGTGCAATCCTTCTACAAAGCCCATCGCCCCAAGATGTTAAATCCTAAATTTAAACAATATTTTTTTAAATACCACAATGTTAACTATGAATTAATAATAATAACAAAACTCGTTTATTGATACTTTACTGATAATGAAGAGACAAGAATTAAAATTCCAGACAACGATTTGTTCGTTGCTGAAACCTACCTAACCTAACATTCAAACATATATCCTTACGTTACGATGTAAATATAAAAATACCGTGGGAAATAAAGTGATTTCGAGTTGTCTACCAACCTTCAACTAACCAGTT